AAAATTGTTTTACAATATTGTGTTGGTTTCTGCTGTACATCAGTGTGAATCAGCTGTAATTGAAGTCGCTCAGTCGTGTCTGACTCTTTGCGACCCTGTGGACTGTAGCCCACCAGGCTCCTCCGTCCATGGGATTCTCCGGGCAAGAATACTGGAGTGGGTTGCCATTTCCTATTCCCTTCCTACTTGAGCCTTCCTCCCACTTTCCCATCCCATCCCTAAACAGTTCTTTATATTAGATTTTCTCTGATGAAATAACTATTATGGTTTCTGTTCTCCTGATTCAACCTTGACCAATACCCAAGAAAACAGTAATTCCAATTAAAACTACCATAACTACTAAAATGATTCCTTCAGAAGAGAAAAAGAAAGAATCTAACAATAACAACAGCAAAAAGCTTCTGAAGAAGAACCGTCACTGTGGGGTTGAGGTGGAGGGGGGAATGTCATTGTTCTATCAAATGTTACAGCCTATTATGAAGCTGCACCAATTTTAAGGAATGTGATACTGGCACAGGAAGAGATAGACAATGTAACAAACCAGAAGGAACAAAAGCAGACACAAATATTTATGGTCATTTTGATAGCTTAAGGTGAATGATGTAGGATTTGTGATCTCCGAAGAAGATTTAGCTCCGGGATCAGGAACCAGGCTTGATCACTCAAGAGCTTTTGTGTAGCAGAGTTTTATTAAAGTATGAAAAGGGACAGAGAAAGCTTCTGACACAGACATCAGAAGGGGGACGGAGAGTGCCCCAATCCCTAGTCCTAGCAAGGGAATTATATACTTTTTAATTGGTTATTACAATAAATCAAAAGAATGTTTCAAAGTTGTAAAGATCTTACTAGACCCACTCCCATAATATACATTTTAAGATAACAGGATTAGTCAGAAGGTTTTCAGGAAGGAGAAACATGTCCTCAAGCAGGATACATTATTGTTATATAATGCTTACTAAGGAATGTAGAAAAGAATGTTTGTCCTTTCCTCCTCTTTGAGAGCCCCAGACCCCTTTTTCCTCCTCGGGGACCCTGGACTTCTTATCAACCTGCCTAGGAATTGACGCTCTCAGTTTTGCAACATCTCAATCTACTTACCTTAGTCTCAAAAGAAATGCAGGAAAAGAGAACCTCATCTGCCTGTCATCTCTTGACTCCTGAGCTGTGTGCTCCTTTGGGCAAAGTCTTTAACCTCTTAGAACCTCAGATTTCTCATTTGTAGGATGTAGATAGTAACTACCATGAAGGGCTGTTGAAAAGACTTGAGATATTGTCATAAAGTGCCCAGTACTGTGCATGGCATATAATAGCTTCCTAATAAACAGTTGTTATTATTTTCTTTCACTATAACTCACAGTCTACTTTTACACAGTCACAGTTTTTTTTCCAAGTGACATGACCCTTTTCTTCTCTGTGTGTGTCTCTCTGTATTAGAGCACTTATGCATACTCCCCCCAAACTAGAGACAACCTTGCTGAATTGTATCCTGAAGACTGAATTGCATCCTGAAGACTGAATTGTATCCTCCCCCTAAAATATGTTGAAATCCTAAACTAGCCCCCCAAACCTGAGAATGTGACCTGATTTGGAAATAACGTTGTTGCAGTCGTACTGGAGTAGAATTAGCCCCAATATGACTAGTGTCCTATAAGAAGAGGGAAATTTGGACACAGGTATGCCCAGAGGGAAGACAGACACATAGCCATGTGATCACAGAAGCAGATACTGGAGTGATGCATCTACAAGTCAAAGAATGTTAAGGGTCACTGGCAACAAGCAGAAGCTAGGAAGAGACAAAGAAGAAATCTCTCCACCTCCCATCCCGCACCCCCGACAGGTCTCAGAGGTATCATGGCCCTGAAGAGACTTTCATTTAGAACTCTGGCTTCCGGAACTGTGAGAAAATTAATTTCTGTGGTTTTAAGCCACCTAGTTATCAGTATTTTGTTACAGCAGCCCTTAGGAAAGTAATACAAACCTAAATATTCTTCGCAGGTGAATGCAAAACAAACTGTGATACATCCATACAATGGACTACAACATGGGTAAATCTCAAAGATTGAGAGAAGTCAGTCAATGGAGGGAGGGGTGGTGTCAATGGAGGTTGTATCCTGTATGATTCCATTTATGTGAAATTCTCTTAAAAGCAAGTCAATAGGATGGAGAACCAATCAGTGTTTGTCAGAGGCTGAGTGGGGCCAGAGTTTGACTACAAGGGAGACGTGAGGAAAATTTCTAGAATCATGGAACTGCTCTGTGTCCTGATTGTGACAGAGGTTATACAAAAATATGCAAAAATTATAAACAAAAATTAAAAAAATAATTAACAAAAATTGTTAACACTGATAGAACTGTATGTTCAAAGAGAGTTAATTTCATAGTGTGTTAGTGAAAGTGTTAGTCGCTCAGTTGTGTCCAACTCTGTACAACCCCTTGGACTGTAGGCTGCCAGGTTCCTCTGTCCATGGAATTCTCCAGGCAAGAATATTGGAGTGGGTTGCCATTCCCTTCTCCAGGACACCTTCCTGACCCAGGGATCAAACCCAGGTCTCCGACATTGCAGGAAGGCTTTTTTTTTTTTACCATCTGAGCCACCATGGAAGCCATGGTGTGTTAAATTAGGTATTAAAAAAAAATGAAAATGGGCTTTCCCTGGTGGTCCAGTGGCTGACTCCAAGCTCCCAATGCAGGGGGCCCAGGGTTGATCCCTGATCAGGGAACTAGATCCCACATGCTACAACTAAGAGTTCTTATGCTGCAACTAAGACTCAGCACAGCCAAATTAATAAATAAATGCATTTTTTAAAAAATGAAAACACATGCATATATATATATACCCAAACAAATTGCTTTTCAAAATACTTGAAAAGAGATTTTTCTTCTGGGTTTCTGCCACAAAGGCTGCTTTGGGGGAGTTCTGCCACACTAATCCTGGTCTTCTGGGAGCCAGTCTTTCCATCTGTAGAAGGAGAGGATCCAACTAGAGCAGGGGTTTTCATAGCAACCCCCCTCCACTCCCCCAAATTGCATCCCTGGGCGTTCCTTTTGTGGAAGTGGGAGTAAGGTTTGGTTTGGAGAGAAACAGCATTTGGACTCCATGTGGTATGAACCCACAGGTCTGCATCAATCAGAGTAGTTGTGCTTTCTGACTCATATATATTTTTATGTAGAGTAATTCAAGATTAGAATAGCTGCTCCCAAGCCAGAGTCAGATACCTAGGGAATTTAAACAATCCTAGATTTCAGGGCCTACTTCTGGGGTCCACTCAATTGTCCCTTTGGCAAGTATCCCCACAGATCCTAGTTGATCCCAGGGCTCTGGCTCTAATGGTCAGTGATTCTAAATAAGGCCTTTGGGTGGGGAACAGGGGGCCCCGGAATGGTGCTTCTTGCTTTCACACGTATTAAATACGGTGATACAATGGGAATGCTGAAAGGGCTCTGAAACTAGGCCTCCTGTGAGATAGGGTCCGAAAGAAACTTACCCCATTTGTTTTAAAGGCAAGATAACTTTTAGAAAGAGTACTCTGTAGACAAAATGGGGCCATACACAGATGGGGGAAAGGCCCTTATGAGGATAGGTGTGCTGACCTCCAACTGGCAGGGCCAACAAGTAACCTTAATAACAAGAGCAGCCTTTTCCTCTAAGCAGGAAACCATCTGCTTGCTAGGTCTCACGCTAAGGAATCTAATCCTCACAACAACCCTGGGAGAGACAGGCTGTCACTGCTTTGACAGGTGAGGAAATGGAGGCTCTGAGAGGCCCCAGTCACATGGGGTGGGGTGACACAGTCGAGTCCTGGCCAGCAACTCCAGCCTCTATGCAACAGCCCATGAGAGTAACAGAGGCCTTGTGTCAGACGGACTCTCTCTGTTTTAGCAAGTGCCTTGGAGAAAGGGTGGCTCAGAGGGTAAAGAATCTGCCTGCTAATGCAGGAGATGCAAGAGACAGGGGTTCAGTCCCTGGGTAGGGAAGATCCCCTGGAGAAGGAAATGGCAATCCACTCCAGTATTCTTTCCTGAAGAATTCCATGGACAGAGGAGCCTGGCGGACTGCAGGCCATGGGATCTCAGAGTTGAACACGACTGAGCTACTAACACTTTCACTTAGAGAAAGGGATTAATGTTTCTCACAAAGGCTGATGGGGGTTGTTGAGGGCACTTTGGGACCTTGCCATATAGTAGATCACTGGAAAAAAAAATATTTTTATAAGCTTTATATAGTAGAATTGGGGCTTCCCTGGTGGCTCAGTGGTAAAGAATCTCCCTGGCAATGCAAGAGACTCAGGTTCAATCCCTGGGTTGGGAAGATCCCCTGGAGAAGGAAATGGCTACACACTCAAGTATTCTTGCCTTGAGAATCCTATGGACAGAGGAGCCTGGCTGGCTACGGTACACGGGGTCGTAAAGATTCGGACACAACTGAGCGACTAAGGACCTGGTAGAATTTTTTTTTAATTATTTTATAAGCAAATTGAATTTAGAAAGCCAGAGTTGAGTCACTGTGGTTGAAGGTTGGGCAGGAGTACCCTGGGGCTCCCCCAGGACTCCCAGAGAACCCCAAGAAGGCCATTTATCCAATAGGTTGGCACTTACTGTAAGAAGCATGTACAGTCAGAGACATGTACCATGTCTGAGGCTCTGGCTTTGGGTTGGGAAGAACCAGGTGGGGTTGGGGGTGGAGGTGGGGAGGGGACACTCACCCATGGGTTAGCCATGAGTTAGCCAGGCTACGGGTTCATCTAAGCTGGACACCAGCTTGCCCACCCTCCTCTCTGGCCAGGCCCCAGCAGTCATGCCCGGCCACTCACAGGATAAGAAGCATTGTCACCATTTTCTATTTAATGAATTTTCTTCTTTAAAGCACACTAAGTTAAGAACTCCAGCCTCCTCCTTCCCCCCTTTTTGCCTGCCTATCTAAAAAGGAGTTTCTAGTTTCTTTATCAATAAAAGTTTAATGTTCACCTCAGTCAAGTTTGGTGCAGGATCTGAAGCAGAAGTTAGCGGCTGGCCGGAATGACTCCCATCAGCGTCATCAAACAGCTTTCTTTCTTATAGATGTCGGGAATCATCCCCAGTGAGGAACTGATCATGTGAACGGTGTTCTTGCCAAACAGCTTGAATTCATAATGGATAAGCTGCTCCCAAAAGCCGTTGTTGGGCCGGATGGTGGAGCGGCAGAACTTGGTCCACCTGTGGGGGTCCAGCAGAGACATGGAGTGGTACTTCATCAGGTAGGCAAGGCAGAACGTGGCAGAGCGGCTCACCCCCGCAGCGCAGTGCAGCAGCGTTCGGCCTTGCATCATCTCCACGCTGTGGATGTGATCTGCAATAAAGTCAAAGAAGTTGTAGAGGCGCGAGTTGGGAGCATCCGCCAGCGGCACTTTTATGTACTGGATGTCTTCGAAGAACATGTCGGTCGCCTCCACCGACACATTGATGACCATGGTGATGTGGTTGGTAGATAGCATGAATCTGTCCTTGGCTGCCACAGCGTTGCTGAGGTAGAGACTCTTGGTTATCTGGGAGAGGCCATGGGCCGCGGGCTGCCGGACAGCCTGAATCGGAAACGGACACAGAGGCGTTGTCATCGAGGCGGTGGCACAGCGGTCTGTGCGGTGTCCCGGGAGCGAGCTCAGGATGCAGCAGCTCCGTGATGTCTCTGGAGAGGTTCTGGGCGACGGTATGCTGGTCACCCACTGGTCACCCTCCTTCTTCACTCCGCCCCCCGATTCCCCTTCCCCACCCCACTTCCCGTCCCTCGAGGGCGTCACAATTCTCCACGGCCCTTCCCATTGGCTCCCATGGCAATGGCAGCTTGCAACAGGGAGGACTTGGCGGCAAAGCCAGATCTTCAGAGAAACCCCAGATCTCTCTTTTTATCTTTCTTCATAGTTACTTATTTTCAGAGCCGGAATTCTTATGTCTGGATGTTTTAATGTTCTGTTACCAGATATCTCTTTTATGTTTCAATTATTAGACCACTCTGTACACAGTGTCTATTTTATTAGGGTTGAAGAACAGGGCTTACCCTTGTTCTGCAAAGTAACAGTATCATATTTTACCTTGGGGCACAGCATTTGGCTCCTGCGATAGGCTGATCTCTATAAAACTGCGGTGAGGTAGGGGTTTCCACTGGCCCTGGTGACCTGGCCTGATACTTCTTTGTTGATTGTAGCCATAGAATTATGCTCCTGCTCTCACACACATCAGGACTGTTTATTATAAGGGAACATTGCTGATACAGAGCCCTTTATGGTGAAGTTGGCCTGTGGTGAACAGTTGTGACTAATTTAGCTATGTTGCTGTCCATTTGTGCATACGGCCTGAAGGATTTATCACCTGATTCTGCTTTTTCACCTGAAACAACAGCTCAAATTATCTTGTCTACATTATCCCAAAAGAATGCCCACCTGCTTTGTAAACAGCACATCATTTTGACCACTACTGATGGTCTCTTCCCGCAATGTTGAAAATTCTGTAACGAGTCAATGCTATGTCATAACTGGGCCAAAAATAGATTTTTAAAATGCTCCCTGAGATTTGCATTTTCTCTCAGCTAAGATTTTTGTAGGATTTGAAGATTTGAAAAACTATAACCTAAAACTAACAAATTCTTTCATAGAGCAGCTCTGAGATCCATTACTTCCCCATCATTCCTTATCATTTTGGGTTATATGCAAAGTTTGGTCCTTAAACTTTAAAAATGTTATAAAATTATTGGGTGGGGGGGGCTTCCCTGGTGGCTCAGTAGTAAAGAATCTTCCTACAGGAGACCTGGGTTCGATCTCAGAGTTGGGAAGATCCCCTGGAGAAGGAAATGGCAACCCACTCCAGTATTCTTGCCTGGAGAATTCCATGGACAGGGGAGCCTGGCAGGCTACAGTCCATGGGAGTTGCAAAAGAATCGACTTAGCAACTAAACAGCAACAACAAAATTAGGGGAATTTCCTGGTGGTCCAGTGGTCAAGACCCTGCCTTTCCAATGCGGAAGGCTCGGGTTTGATCACTGGTAAGGAAAATAAGATTCCACATGCAGCATAGCCAAAAGATTTTTTTTTTAATGTAGTAAAATTAACCAAAAGAATTCCATACACTATTCTTAAAGACAAGTGTGGCTCATATTAGATTCATGTATTTTTCCAGCCAATATTCTGTGATGCCCTTTCATCTGAGGGTTGTTGAATGTCTTCAAACTCCACTGTAGATCTTTTCTTGGATGGATGAGGAGATGATGTTTCCTCCTCTTGAGTCTGGAAACTGATCACTTTCAAATTTCCACTTACCTTTACTTTTTCTTATTATTTAGGGGGAAAAAATGTACGAGGGACTCGCTTAAGAACATACTCTCTACCTGACACTGGGAAAAGACCCTGAGTGTCAAGAATCAGTTAACATTCCGATTTCTCTATTCAGTAGTTGAGGCCCCTTCCCTTTTGATCTAAGCCTGCCTTTCTAATCTCATTCATTCATTTACTCACTAAACTTTTCTTAAGAATCTATTGTGTGCTAGGCATTTTCACTTTTATAAATCTTCAGTTCTGACCAAACAAAATGTTCTTGGTAATTGCAACATACACATTCCTGCTTTCTTACTTTTGCTCATGCCATTCCTCTTGCTTGAGAAAACATTCTTACTCCTGCCTGTTTACTGAATCCTTTCCAGGCCTCAAGAATGAGCTTGATTAAAAAAAAAAAAGAATGAGCTTAATTAATTAAAAAAATAATCAGCTGAGCATCCAATCTGTGTCAGGTACAGTTCTAGCATTGTGTAGATCCAACACAGCACACCCAGGCTCAGATATCAAAGAACTTATAGTTTAGTCCGAGAGATACATAATCATGAAAGAGTCTAGAAGAGAGGATGATTCATTCTTTTATGTGTGTGTCTGCTTGGGGGCTAGGGGGTGGTCGGTGAGGGGGGTGGATATCACGAAAGGCTTCATAGAAAACATGACCTGGAACAAAGCTTTTTTGTTCATTTGTTTGCTTTTCTTATTTATTGTTTATTCTGTTCATGTTTTTGTTTTGAAAAATTTCAAACCTACAGCAAGGGTGCAGAATAGAATATGAGCGCCCGTTCACCCTTCACCTATAATTTCTCTATTGTTAACACTCTGCCATCACATTTCCAAACACATATTTATCTCTTTGCTTGCTTTCTTTTTGCTGAGCTGTTGCTAACTGCAGATAGAGCAACACTTCAGTCCTTTCAGCACGTCCTAAGAACAAGGACACTCTCCTCCACAACCAGAATACAATGACTATATTCAGGAAATTTAATACTGACCCAACATTTTTATCTAAAATATAACCCATATTCAAAATTCACCAGTCCTCCCAATAATGTGATTTGGAACTGTTTTGTTTTCCCTTTGATTCAGAATGGAAACAAGGACCACATTGCATTTAGTTGTCATACTTCTTGAGCACTATTTAATTTGGAACTGTTTCTGAGCCTTTTGTTTTGCTTTGGTTTTTCCTGGCCGCTGATGTTTTTCAAGAGTTCAGGCCAGTTTTGCAGAATATCTTTCCATTTGGAAGTGTTTGATCATTCCTTCAGGATTAGATGCAAGGGAACTGTTTTTGACAAGAATAGTACCAGATTGTGTCATTCTCAGTACATCTCATTGGGAGCAATATGATGTCTGTTTGTCCCATTAATGATGATGATAAATTCAATCACCTGGTTAAGGTGGCATTAGTTAGGTTTCAACATTGTTGTTGTTCAGTTGCTAAGTCTTGTCTGACTCTTTGCGATCCCATGGACTGCAGCCCACCGGGCTTCCTTGTCCTTCACTGTCTCCTGGAGCTTGCTCAAACTCACATCCATTGAGTCGATGATGCCATCCATTCTACATTGTAAAGGTAGCTTTTCCTTTTTGTAATTAATAAAGAATAAGTAAGGGTGGTACTTTGAGTTTCTGGGAGTTTCTTTGGAATAGGACTTGAAGGATGAGTAGAAGTTTTCCAGGCAGACAAGAAGGGAGAAAAGGAAGTACAAGCAAAGGCATAAGGGTGTGAAATGATGTCAGGAAGGCAGAGAACAACTCAGGATTACTAGAACAGACAGAATGAGGCAGAACTTATAGGTGGAATGGCTATAGGAGTGACAACAGAGATCACAGAGGGCCTTGTGCTTCATCACTTGGGCTTCATCCTGGTGGCACTTTGGAGTATTTTATGCAGAGAAATGGCATGACAAAATTAATCTTAGGATAATCACTTCAGCTATGTAGGTGAATCTGTGGATCAGAAGGTATAGTGGGGAGAAAGGCAGCACTTGAGGGAGGGAGAGCTATTGCAATAGTCTAGACGAGCAATGGCACATCCATTGCAGACTCTTTTCCACCATGGAAGCTGGATCAAATCCAAATAGAATTTACCTCCTCAGATATACACATGGCTCAGGCCACATAAGAGAATGCAGTATCAAACTTTCTGTGGGGGTCAGTATCTGTAGAGTTTGGGAGTAGGGTAGACAGTGAAGGCAAGAGGCTGAGAGTGTAGGTAAAATATTTATATTGAAGAATGGTGGTGATTTAGTTGTTAAGTTGTGTCTGACTTTCTGTGACCCCATGGACTGTATCCCACCAGACTCATCTGTCCATGGGATTTCCCAGGCAAGAATACTGGAGTGGGTTGCCATTTCCTTCTCCAGGGGATCTTCCAACCCAGGGATGAAACCCAGGTCTCCCACTTTGCAGGTGGTCTCTTGCACTGCAGTCGGATTCTTTACTGATTGATCTACCAGGGAAGCCCTGAAGGGTGGTGGTGGTAAGAAAACCTAAAAGAATATGGGATGAGGGCACAGGAGAGCTAGTAGCTAAAAGGAGTTGCATGTTATATTATCTGATGGACAGATAGGATAGGTAGTCTTGAACAGAAGACTCCAAGGCAGAGGTGGGAGTTGGCTTCCCTGAGTACCAAGAGTTGTATATTAATTCCACTTCCCTGTGGGGCGGAGTCAGCTATACCACTGTATACAGTCCAACAGCAAGCCAGCTTCCTAGGACTCGTTGCTGGGCTCAGTCTGGTCCTTAGTTTCTGGATGGTGAAGGGAGACAGATGGATACGAATGTGGAATTCTTCAAATAACACTCTCCAGTCCAGAATACAGCTATTATGAGAAAAAGATTGTGACTTATTTGTTAGGTAAAAAAAAAAAACAGTTTATAAAAATGTTGTACTTTTTTTGTAAAGGTGAAATATATACATATGTATATTCATCATATATATGTATTTTTATAGAGAGAGATATATATCACATGTATATTAAATAGCTATTAATGAGTACTGTTTGTGGAAATATTAGGTATCAAAAGCTGCCCTAGGTACATATGGAGTAAGAATTTCACAAATGTCAGACATTACTTGGTACTATATTTGAGTGGTGGGATTAAAGGTAATTCTTTTCTTTTTGTGTTTGTCTATATTTTCAAATTTTCTAAAATAATTTGTGATATCTTTATAATTAGAAAAAAATTAATCAAGATGTATTTAGACATCATCAACAGATATCCTTTTTTTTGCCTAAGAATTTAGCAAAGTTGAAAAACTAGTAATACTTCATGGTGACAGATTTCAGAGA